ATTATTTTGTCATCAAATACAATTGGAAAATATCTCCTTTGAGAATGGGAAATAAGTTTCCCAGCACATCTACAGAAACTGAAAGCAGCAGCAAGATATGACCCCCTGCCGACACTAATTACAATGCCACTGAATACAAAATGGAGCAATTCCGCCAACCAGCATAGCTTGAGAGTTCATTTCTTTTAGAACTCCAGCAACCAAAAAAACTGGCGTCGCCCTTCATGAGCAATAGACTTCAAATAGTCAAATTGACATCTATCTACACATGCACACATCAATCTCTTAAGAAGTATGTCACCCCTTTTTTCGAGTAACTCGATGAGAAGTGAAGTCACGCTGTATTGCTTCAACTTGAAAAGAGATGGAAGCATCACAGAGTGTTCCGTCAGCCACTACTCTACACTTGCTCATAATCACCTATCATATGCCGATTTAGAATCTCCTCAAGTGAAACAGGTAAGTATTTTGTGCGAATATGTACCCCCACCAAAGTATTATCTCAGAAGCTGCAACATATTCTAACACCGTCATCAGATATCTTACCTTCCAAGCTACAATTCAATGACCAAAGGATGGTGATTTTAATTTGGTAGGCGAGCACCTTCCGTAGGACAACTGCCATAGCCCCATTTTTTTTTGAAAATCACAACATATTATTGGTTTTGCCTGTGTTTCGCAAGTGCATCATTTTTTTCTGTTATCTACCAGATGATGGAATTCTTTGAAGTGTCCATGAGAAATCTTTTCTCAACCTCTTGTTTGATGTCATTGGTAGCTTGATGGAATTCTTTGAAGTGTCCGTGAGAAATCTTGTCTCAACCTCTTGTTTGATGTCATTGGTAGTGACCTGGTTTAGTATAAATGTCACTCAGAGATCACAGCTAATAAAAGTATACATTTACACACAGGTGGCCGATATTAGTACAAACCTCAGCTAACACTTGCACATAATATTCTCTATCAAATTATTATGCACACTAACTTCTAAAAATGTTTCAAAAGAAAACATATTATGAAAACATCTCGAGTGCAAAGATATGAAAAGGAGTTTTGCAACAGGATTTTCACCTAGGAGAACCTGAATGTCTCTGAGTAAACTGACCCAGCATAGATTTTAAACATTCAAGGGCTTCCTCTGCAGCCTGTCAAAGATCAAAACCTTTTCAGATGGACAACTTTACTGGCAACTAAGTAAATGGCATGTGAATTTGAAAACTAGGCTGTGAGACCTTTATTTTCCAGGTGGTAGTAATGAAACAGGTAAAACAAGGACAAATTTTGAAAACAGATCACTTTGCAAAAATATTCCCAAAAAAAGTCTCGTTTTCACTTTATTTTTAAAAAACGACCTAGTTTCAGCCTTAGGGCTGAAACTGGATCGTTTTTTGCGAAAAATGTTCTCAAACTTCACGGGAGTTCAACTCCCGTGAAGTTTTGTTTTGAAAAAAACTTCACGGGAATTCAACTCCCGTGAAGTTTGGGAACATTATTCGCAAAAAGCAACCCAGTTTCAGCCCTGAGGCTAAAACTAGGTCGTTTTTTGCGAATATTTTCAAAACAGGTCTTTTTTTGGGAATATTTTTACAAAGGGGTCTTTTAAAATTTTGCCCGGTAAAACAAATTTCTAAAACAAAATGTGGAGAAGGTTCATTCTAAATCTGTGAGGTATGCTCCTGTGAATCATGATTAATTATTTCCCAGAACATGCAAGATATTAGATTGGCAAAAGTAGCATGCCCTTCCTATGCTTAAAGAACATTTTGAAACATATGTAAATGAATCTGTCAACCAATTTTACTCACTTATAACCTAAATATCAAATGAAGACTATTTTATACGTAGCACAAAGACACCTAGCAAATTGATGAATTAACCAAACTAACATCAATTACAATGACAATCACATTATATAGATATTAACTGTAGATTAGAACAAATTACATTATTATGTCCCACTTCATCTTTAAAAGAACTAGGCTGTGTTTGGCAAATGGAATTTGAATAGAAAGAAAGTAGATGTTTTCTATTCTTCCCGAACCAACTATGGGATCTAGAGAAAGTGGGAATGTCATGGTAATTTCTTTTGTTTGGCATATGCAAGGTCAACATGTAAACATCAAGAATGTTCAGGAATGAGATAAGATGCCACCAATGTCTATTTTTTCCCACCTAGATTTGGAAGAAAAGGTTAAGGGACAAATCCAAGAGTAATCAAATAGTAGCTTTCATTGCCTAGTCTTTTTGCCCCAAAGAGCAGGAAAGAGTTTTTGGGATCTATCCTACATGGCAGATGGCTTCCACACTAGGTTGCACAGGTACGGGTACGGGTATAGACACGGCAAATTTGTAAAAAAAATAGGGTACAGGGACACGGCTCATATATATATATATATATATATATATATATATATATATATATATATATAACATTAACAATTATATTAACTATAGCAATTTTACTATGTTTAATTTTAAATTCTCAATAAAATAAGCTCATTCCTTAAAATTATAAAGTAAACTCATTTGAAACTGACTTTATATTCCACATAAGCATAAAAAATAATAAATAAATAAATACGTACGTATATACATACATATAGGGGTGGTAAATGATCGAATCGAATCGAATACTAAGTTGTTCATATTTGTATTTGTTTAAAATTATCGAATTCGAATGCGGACTCTATTATTCATATATCTAGTTTTTCGAATTTGAACTCGAATACTTGGTATTTGATAAATATTCATGAATATTCACGAATACTTATCGAATATCAAAGTATATTTATTTCGCTAAAGAGTTTAATTTTCAAATAGTATTAAAATTTATAAATTAAAATTATTTCTTTATAATATATGATGTATATATATTTAAATCAAAATTTTAATTAGAAAACAGATTTAAGATTATTTAAGTCTTAAAATCTATATATAAAACTTAAGTAGAAATGGTAAGTGGGTTAAAAATATGACATCATATGTGCAATAATACAAGTAATATGATGTGATCAAATTTTAAACGAATATTTAATAGACAAACGAATCGAATATACATCTGGTTAAATTCTATTCGTTAATAAACTCGAATACTAAAAAATATTTGTTTAGTGATAAATGAACTATCGAATCGAATATGACCGAATAGTTATTCAAACAATTATCGAACCATTTATTAATTATTTGGTTCATTTCCACCCCTACATACATACATATACACTTACCTATTTAAATATGAAAACACATGTCTCCCATTCTTAGCATTGCCATTAATTTTAAAGAAAAGACAAAAGTAAATAGTCAAGCACCCCATGTGAATGGTGATGTCATGTTCCACTAACAAATTTAAAACTAAGAAAATAAAAGAGAGTCTTCTTCTTCCTTGCAAAAATTCCCGTGTCCCCTCCGTTCGGGTGCGGAAACGTACCCAAACCGCACCCGACATGGGTACGACGCCAAAATTGCCGTGTCGGGGTATCATAGCTTCCACATAATCTAGAAAGTTTAATTTCCAACTCCTTGTTTCAAATTCAACGTACCAAACAGGAAAAGAAGAATTTTTCAAAACAGACCCACTTCAATTTTTTTTCTTAAAACCGACCCGTTTTTTTTATTTATCAAAACCGACCCGATTTTGTAATTAGCAGATTAATCACATTCCTAAACAGTCGGGGTTGGCAACCCCGACTATTTAGGACATTAATTTTTAGGGTTTAAGGCTTCTAATTAGGGTTTAACACCTTCCTAAATAGTCGGGGTTGCCAACCCCGACTGTTTAGGATGGTGATTAAGCTGTTAATTAGAAAATCGGGTCGGTTTTGATAAAAAAAAACGGGTCGGTTTTAAGAAAAAAAAGTTGAAGCGGGTCTGTTTTGAAAAATTCTTCAACAGGAAAACTACATGGGGAAGATTCTTTTACTTCTAAACATTACTCCAAGTTCATATGTCAAATAGCCCTCTAATTAAGAGACAAAGGACAATATCTTTCTTAAAATCAAACAAATATTTTTTTCTTGGCCTATAAATATTCTATACGGTCTTAATTTATCCTTTGAAAAGATCTTAACTAAGTTTTTCTCCTCTTAAAATATTTTGATCTTATATTTAAGATTTTCACAAAAAAAACTTATATAGAGAGAACAGGTCATGAAATACACATGCCAGAATCTACTACTTAAACTTTTGTTTGTATTCTCATCCATTTCTAAAACTTCAGTATGACGTGATCTTGAAATACCCAAGCTATGATGTTAAAAGAGGATGCAAAATACAGGACATGTGATACCTGCAACTTGGCTTCTTCCCAGGTTTTTCCAACTCCTTTGCCCAAGATTTGTCCATCTATTTCAACCTAGAATAGTCCAAAAATAAAAAAAAATTGAAAAAAGAAAACACAATCAAGACAACAGTAACAACTTCAGATATTGATGTAAGAGGAGGACAAATCATGTGTTTGTTCTTTACATTAGCTTCGCTGAGAGGGGGTTGGGGGGGGGGGGGCATTAGCTTCGCTGAGAGGGGGTTGGGGGGGGGGGATCACTTAATGTCCAAATGTCATGACGAAATGACCAACCAAGACCAACCAATTCAAAAAAGGAATCAAAGTATAGTAGGATTAGAAGTAGCAAATTCTATCCAGTGACGGTCTCCCAACATACCAGCAGTTCCCATAACCTGTATATTAAGCAGCATGGGAAACATGGACTGTGTTCTACTCCCCATGAACCTCGCCACCCATCCTACGTCCTCTCGTTTTTCTTTCAGGATATCTCTCCTCTCTTTTCCTCTCTCTT